AAATGCAAGAGTATGTTGATTTGCAAAATGCTGCCATGGAGTGTGGCATCTCCTGGTCTCTTCGCCAAGTTTCTACTGAGTATCCCAACATTGACCACTCCTTTCTCCAGGAGCGCTTTAAAGTCGAGCGAGATGCCCCTGACGACATGGATGATGATGACGATGAGTAGGAGGGTGGCAAGCCACTTTGTCTGCCCGTTGATCGCTTTTACCAACTAGCTGTTGTTACGTTTGTTGTTTTGTCTTTATTTGTAGCTACCTTTGGAATTATCAATAAATTCTTTATTACAAAAAATTATTAGCTTACGGCTCTAACTCTGATGGAGCTGATTTTCGTTGCCTTTAATTCTCATAGGTTTCTAACCCTTTAGCTATGGCGAATGGTTTTGTACCATTAGTTGCTATCGTTTGGCTTTTGATTTTGTTCCATCTTGTGTTTTAACCGTACTAGGTCAAGTGACCTGCTTCTGGTTTGGCCCTTACTTGTTCTTTCCAATTCTTGTCGATCGATGTAGATTGATGTACTATTATGCCCCCTACTTAAGGAGTACAAAAAAAAGTTGATAGGGAGTACTCAAGTATGTAGACAATGGATACTTTATTGATAACGTAAAAATCAATAATCTTAAAAAAACAAAAGAAAAGAGAAACAAAGAATCTTAAACCTATCCTATACTCGTTAGTTGAGTGAAGAAATCAATGATCACCCACAGTAGAAGCCCTATCGTTACCCTTCATAGAAGTGTAGCAGCACTCATGTAATACTCATTGCTCTCCTTTGATCTCACATATTCCACCAGGTGTTGGGAATTTCATAGACTGGTGGTACGTGGATGGTATTGCTTTGAGCATGTGCGTTGTTGGTCTTCCTAGTATCGCATTATAGGAGGATGCGTAGTCGACGACTAAAAAATCTACCATTTTACTGATGCTTTTTGGCCCGCTTCCGAACGACACCGGCAATTCTATTCTCCCTTCAGGGATGACCCGTTCTCCTCCAAACCCTACCAGTGGTGTCGGGCTACTCTTAAGCCCTTTCTCTCCTAGATCCATAACTTTGTAGGCTGTCAAGGAGATGATATCTGTCGAACTGCCCCCATCTACCAAGATCCGATGCACCTTTGCATTGGCTATTTTCAGAGTGATGACCAGTGCATCATTATGTGGGTGAAGGAGGTGAGTCGCCTCATCCTCTGAGAACTCGATTTTTGTCGGTTGTTCTACCACAAATGCATGGCAGATCTCATGTTGTCTGAGGCTCGTCCTGGTTTCTCGTATGCTCGCCTTTCTCTTTCTGCAAGATTTTCTCTCTACCAGACCTCCCATTATTGTTCGGATTTCTCGAGCGGGTGACTTACAATCGTTCTCACCATTTTGCGTCGCTTTAGGATCCTCCATATATTCTTTGAGATATCCTCTCCGGATGAGTCCATCCACTTCTTCTTTGAGATCAAAGCAATTCTGAGTAGCATGACCGTGGTCTCGGCGGAAAAGGCAATATCGCCCTTTGCTTCTTTGACTTGGAGGTGCTTTCATCCTCTCTGGCATTTGAGCAACCTTTGGTTTTTGATTCCATCAGTACTTGTTCGAGTGGGACTGTAGTTGGGGTATACTTCTCGAACTTCCGGGGTGGATCCTTCTGGCTAGTTCGATCTCTTTTCTCCCATCTTGATGACTGTGGCTTATCCCCAGACCTCTCTCTCTTCTGGTCGGACCATTTTCCCTCTGGCTCTTTCTTTGAATGGAAGAACTCTCTGACGCTCATATATTTCTGAGCTCGGCTCAGCGCCTTCGAGAAGGTGCTCGACGTCTTTTTCCCAAAAGAGAATGAAAGGTGTTCATCCCTGATGCCGGACATGAAAGCTAGTAGAGACACCACATCTGTGAAACCCTGAACCTGCAATTTCTCCTCATTAAACGGAGCCACATAGTCGTGAAGGCTCTCTGTTGCTCTCTGTTTGATGGTCAGAAGATAAGCCACGGGTTGGTTTCGGCTTCGTCATTCTACGAATTGGGTCACAAATGCCCTGGCCAGGCTCTTGAAGCTCGAGATCGAACCCCGTTTCAACTGTCGAAACCATACCTTGGCCGACCCACTCAAAGTTGTCGAGAACACCCGAAATTTGATCGCCTCTAACACCCCGTAAATATCCATCCATTCTCGGTAGGCGTAGAGGTGGTCTACCGGATTGGCCGACCCGTCGAATTGTTTCACCGTTGGTAGCTTCAATTTTGGAGGGACCTTCTTCCCCATGATTTCTTCTATAAATGGCGAGTCGGCTTGATCCAGTAGCTCTTCGAGATCGAACCCCTTCTCTTTTTGACTTTGTTGCTTTTCTAACAACTCAGGTCGATCTGCCGGTTTGTCTTTGTCGAGGTTTATGGGCTCAGCATTTTGTTTATTCTGGTTGCTCTTGCCCCCATCTGGTACCAGGGATTTCTATCGCTTTTTGCGCTTTTGCTGGGCTCGGGAGTCGAAAATCAGAGTTCGTCGTTTGATGTTTCCTCCTAACCTCAGCTTGCTCCCTGCACTGTTCGTTGATTCATCAGCCTCACTTTCTACTGGGCCTTTTCCCTTTTAGGGGTCTTTGACGAGGGGTACTTCGCTGGCCTCTCGTTGTTCTAGTCGTTGAAGTAGTTGGGTCATGTGCTGAAACATGTCCTCTACCTTTTCTTCTAAGGTTGCGAACTGATTTTGGAGTTGTTCAGGGGCTGTTATTGTAGGCACCTCAGGCCGCCCTTCTGGGCGTTCCGGGTTTTGTTGACTCATGTCGCCCTCGGGTCCTCCTACCTGGGGGTCATCCAAGTTTAACTTCCTCCTTGCATGCCAATCATCGTCAGAGCGTCGTGGACTTCTTTCCGACGTCATGTTGTTCGATTGTACGGTTTGTTTCTCATTCCCACAGATAGCGCCAATTGTTGATGCGTGAATTATGTTCTCCCGGTTACTCTTGAGGTTTGCACCAAACTTGATTATCGGGGAATCGAAGAACTGCAAAACCGAACAAAACTAGACCAGTGTGACTCTTGTTACACGGGTTCTGATACCTAAGTTAGCAATGAGAGTAGTGGAGTTATGGAATTCAAGTGTAGAATTCGGCTTATCTTAGGGTTAGGCTACATGACCTATTTATAGTCGCTCGGGAGGTTCGAAACCCTACTAAGTGAGCCCTAGTTCGTCGCTGCAAGGCCCAAGGTGCGTGGAGATCAGAAGAGGGCGATTATTGGGCTTGGCAATGGGTCGAGCCAGGATCGGGATCGAGCCGTGCTCGGCTCGGTCTGGTTCTTCCGGTGGCTCTTTGGTTTTCTTCTGTTTGGTCGATCCGTTGCTTTGTCGTTTTTCCTTTGTATAACATAGCCATTATTAGAATACTTAAAAGCAAGGTAGTCATGGTGGGTGATATCTTGAGAGAGCTTTGTAGAGAAAATATAACAGAGGTCCATTGTAATTAATTTTCCCAATACCATAGAATCTACTTTTGTAGAAGACTAAATGTACTAACTTGTGATTTAGTTTTCACTTATGTTTGAAGAACTCACTGATGATTGATTGATTTATATTTTTTTTCAAAAAATGTATTGGGGTGTAGCCAATAATGAAATGACATTACAAAGATTCAAATACAAGATCTCGTGCTCTGACTCATGTTAAATCAGCGAAGCTAAAAGTTTAAGCTGATGAATTACGACGAATTTAATCATTTATCAATATTTTAATTACGGAGGATTTAGTCGAAAATTGGAGGAGATTTTCTTCCAATTCGGAGCTTGAAATATAAGACAACATTGGAAAACACCACTATTTATTATTGTAAGACCAATATCTAAAGTATTCTAAAATATACAAAATAATTAAGGTTGTTTTGAAAACGTTTCATTTCTTGCTTCTTTGTTTTTTTTCACTTTTTGCTTATTGTTATTACAAAATAAAGTGTTCTAAATGTGTGAGGAACCATTTATTATTCCTCATTCTCTCATTTTAAATTAAAAAATAAACTTTTAAAAATTATTATGTTTTTAAATAATTCTTTTAGTATTTATTATGTATTTTTTAAGTAAATATAATAAAATAATACTTGTAGTGTGTTTTTTTTAAAAAAAGTTGAAAACATGATACAAAGAAAAGGATAAGTTTAGTCCCAACCACTAAATCATGTTATTCTTTGTTTTTCTGAATAAATTAAGCATATAAATACTATATTACATGTGTTTCTTTTGTTATTTATTTTTTAAAATCTAGTCCAAATTTGAAGAGATAAAAGAAAAAGTAAGTAATATATATATAGATACATGCATATTAAGAATTCAAATGTGTTTTTAAGAAGGACGAAGAACATATAAAAAATTTTGCAAACCTAATTAAGAAAAAACTAAAAATAAAATTGAATATCAAATATGACTTAAACTTTCAAATGAGGTAAGTCTGCAAACTTTAAATATGTTATAAATTTTTTAAATTTTGATTTTGTGTTGATTGTCTTCAGTTTTGAGTTTAATATTCGGTTATTAAACTTTTAAATTATCTAATAAGTCCTAAAATTTTATTCAATTTTGTGTCTAACACGTCCTTAACTTATAATATTTCCTTTTTTTAAATCCACGAACCTATTAGATCCAAAATTATAAATTATAAATCTTATTAGACACACTCAATCAATTTAAAACATGTCAAATAAGGTAGAAAACTATTAAATGGAACGTTCAAAGATGGACTTCTAAAATCTAGACACCTTTTTAGTTAGATCGATTAAATTAAACTAAACTTGTAATTTCTATATATTTTTCTCCAAAATTTACCCATTGAATTTTGAGAATTATGAAAAATAGAAAAAGTGAACCAATTACGAAATGAACATATTTGTAAAAAGTAAAGAACGTTGAAAGTAATTTAAAAAGAAATAGAAAAATAAAAACTAAAATTTGTTGTATTCTAATTTCTAATTCTTCCACAAAGAAAGACTGAAGAGGGACTCTCTCCCATTTAACGGCAATTTTCAACGACTCCTAAGAAAATGGCGGGACCTCTTCAACAAACCAAACAAATCCGCCATTAACGCTTTCTCCAGCTCTCAACATTTCCTTCTCCTCTCCTTCTCTCTCTCGCTCTCTCTCCCTCCCTGTGATTTCCGCATCAGATTTCATTCCTCCACTTTCCCCTGCCCTCTCCCATGGGACGTTAATGACCTAATCGCCAAATCCCACAAGTACTAACCTCCCATGGGAAGCTGCGTTTCCGTGCAAGCCAGAGCAGCGTCCTTCGCCAAGAGGAGCAGAGACGTCAGGCCTCTTCCAGATCATGCGCTCATCGAATCGGTTCGCAAGTCCTCCGTCCGCCTCGCGGCTTCGATTCTCTCCGATGAGTCCACCGGCGACAACATTTTCGAGAAATACCGCTTCGGGAAGGAGCTCGGCCGCGGGGAGTTCGGGATTACGCACCAGTGCTTTGACATTGAGACCGGCGATACCTTCGCCTGCAAGACCATTTCCAAGAGCAAGTTGAGGTCGGAGATCAACGTCGAGGATGTGCGGAGAGAGGTGGCGATTATGCGAAATTTGCCCAAGCATCCCAACATTGTCGCCTTCAAGGAGGCCTTTGAGGATAATGAAGCGGTTTATTTCGTTATGGAGCTTTGCGAGGGCGGCGAGCTCTTCGATAGGATTGTCTCCAAGGGGCACTACACTGAGCGTGCGGCTGCCGACGTAACCAAGACCATTATCGAGATTTGCAAGGTAATATCAATTTTACCCTCCTCTTTAATCACAGGGAAATTACGGAATATGATATTTTCTGGAAGTAGACTGGAATTTGTTTGTTTAATTACTTGCTGATTTCTTCAAAATGGTGATGTTTACGCGTTATTTGCATTTGTGACAAGTCATTTCTGCCTCATGTTTGCCATGGAAATATCTGTTTAATGAGATAATAGCCTCTGAATTTGGTAGCAGGGCAATGGTGGCATGATTGAGGTTTAATGGAATGATATTGGGGAAGTTGTGTCCTTAGAAATGGCATTTTTCCAATGTATAAATTGTCCTTCATTCTCTATACAGCTCAATTTCATAGAGAAATTCTAGTCCTCTATATTGTTTTCTAATCTCTAAACTGGTTAAAGAATACTAATGTTTCAACTGAAGATTAAGGTTCTTTAGAACAACACATATGTGAAGGATTGATCGTATTAATGATGTTTTTGAAATATGCAAGGTTGCGTAACTGTTTTTACTTTTTCAGCTTCAATGTTATTTTCTTTAAGCATTTTATTGTTCTGTCCCAGGTATGCCATGAAAATGGAGTAATCCATAGGGATTTGAAACCCGAGAACTTCTTGTTCGCAGATGAAAGTGAAAATTCTCGACTGAAGGCAATTGATTTTGGTCTTTCCATATTTTTTGAACCTGGTATACTTGCAGTTCTTAACTACTTGCCCGTAATTCTGATTGCATGAGCCAAACTTCTCCTCTCATCTTATTGGCTTGGGGAGCTACTCTATATTTGATCAAGAACTTGTTTCTGAACTTTCTCGATCTCGTTTGATAGATCAGAGATTCAGTGAAATTGTTGGAAGTCCGTATTACATGGCACCAGAGGTCCTGAGACGCAGTTATGGACCTGAAATTGATGTTTGGAGCGCTGGGGTCATTCTCTACATTTTACTTTGTGGAGTTCCTCCTTTCTGGGCAGGTGAGTCTCTCCTTGAGTGGCATCTTGTAGGTTGTTTATGAATTATGAGGTCCGTTCTTCCCAAAAAAGTACAAGTCCTGTTTCGTTCTTTGAACTTTTATACTTATTTATTTTGGTTTCAAACCTTCAAAATGTTTTATTTTTTTAGTACCTCAATTTTCAGATGTTTTGTTTTTGGTCCCTAAACTTTACAAAGATAAAATAAAAACTTTAATCTTTACCATTAACTTTTTATTGATCATTTAACAAGAATCTAAATATATTTCAATTTGACCTCTTACGTATATTTTCAAGCACCTGTTTATGTAGAATTTTACTCATTAGGTAAATGAACAAAAGATGTGCTTATGTTAGGTTGTTGAATAATTTATTTAAAAATCAAGGGCAATGACTAAAATAGTTTTCCATGTAAATTTCAAGGAGTAAAGCAAAATGTTTGAAAGTTTAAGAACCAAAATAAAATAAATATAAAAAATCAGGAAACAAAACTTGATTTATATATAAGAAAATCAAGTGGCTAAGCATTTTTCTAGGAATGTTAATGATGCATCGTGGTTTATAACTAGTGCAGAATCTGAGGAAGGCATTGCTCATGCTATTGTTCGGGGTGATATAGATTTTGAGAGGGACCCTTGGCCCAAGGTCTCCAAGGAAGCAAAAGAACTTGTGATGGGGATGCTTGATCCAAATCCTTATAGCCGGATGTCTGTTGAAGAAGTACTTGGTATGGACTCTAATGCCCAATCCATTTCAATAATATTTTTCTTTGCTTTGTGTTTTCAATTCCTAAGCAGAGTACCTCTAGGTTTTAAATAAGATTCAATAGAAAGGATCACAAATGCAGGCATGAGCCGTTAAAGAGTTGTCAGATTTTGTAGCTAAGTTGAAGTATTTTTGTAGTTTGGATTTTAGCAATTAAGAAGCTTGTTTTTTGGTGTTTTGTTAGTTGGATTTTGTGTGGTTTATTGATTGGTTGGTAGGTATTTTTCTAATTAGATTTTGAGAAGGTATTAATTTCACCACTCATTCGAGTTGAAAATTAAAGGTTAAAATTACTCACTAAATCAAGTATAAAGGTAAAAATTATTTTTGCCCTCATTTATTATTATACAAGAATCAAATACCACCCATATGTTCTTGTGTAGGCAGAAATTAAAGAAATTGGTCTGTTTCAACTGAGATTAATGGTTTGCACAAGCTGGAGCTTATTCAAAATTTACTGCTTGCCTCATTCTTCTTGACGATTTTCACCATGTGTTTCTTTTTCTTTGAGTAAACATGGAGCTACATGCAAAACCTAAAAATGAAGAGAAGAATTAAAACATAAATCATAAATTAAATTATCTGATCATCTTGTTTTATTGCATGAAGAACATCCTTGGATACAAAACAAAAACCAGGCTCGTAATGTCTCCCTGGGAGAAAATGTCGGCTTAAGGATTAAGCAATTCACTGTGATGAATAAGTTCAAGAAGAAAGTACTTAGAGTAAGTTTGTCACACACCCTCTTACTCGAACATACATTAGTCAATTAAATTCTATCTTCAGTACTTGCCAATTGATGAATATTCTTTTCTGGGTCCAGGTTGTGGCTGACCACTTGTCAGATGAGCAAATGGATGGGATCAGACGAATGTTCCATATGATGGACACTGATAAAAATGGAGACTTGACTTTTGAAGAGTTGAAGAATGGTCTGCATATGATTGGACATTCTCTTCCTGACCCTGATGTACGGATGTTGATGGATGCTGTAAGTTTCTTCACACCCAAAAGTTTGTTGGATGGATATTTTGAGAGAAAGACGCTCTTATACACTTTTACCCTTTACTTTTTTCCTCACGTGCATTAAATGTAGGGACAGCCTTCTTGTTTATAAACAAAAGTCTGTTGGAGTTGGAGTCTGAGTAAAAAAATATCTTTCTAACCAGTTTTTCAGTCCAAATATCTTAGATATTTTTTTTGGGAGGCTAACCAAATCCAAAGAAATCCTTGAGTTCTTCAAAGTCCAAAAAGTATATTGAAGTCTAACATATTTTTGGAGTAATTTAAGATATTTGTTTAGAACCTTCTCGAACAAATCATTTTCATTCACCATGCCTTCTATTTTCTCTATAAAATAGTCAGTTGGTTCTCCCACGTGGTTAGGATCCTCATTCATGAGAAATCCAAATAAGAGGATTGAACCATTTCTTCCCACAGTTTTTTCTATTTGATGAATGATGAACTGTTATTAAAAGATGAAGTATTATCATATAACGAATATTTGAGGTCAAAATTACGAGTCTAATATTCTAACGAGGCTCTTCCTCTCCATGAATAAGGCGGACATGGATGGAAATGGAACACTAAGCTGCGAGGAGTTCGCAACAATGTCCATCCACCTCAGAAAGCTGAGCACTGATGAGCTCCTGACTCAAGCTTTCAGTTACTTTGACAAAGACAAAAACGGGTACATTGAATATGATGAACTGAGAGAAGCCTTAATGGATGACAATGAGAAGGTGATCCAAGAAATCATTTCTGATGTTGACTCAGATAAGGTATCTCTCTAAAATGGCTATTTTTCACTTCATTTCACTTCCTTTATGAGTTTTAGCTTCTTTTGGGGAAAAGTGAAAAGTACTTTTAGCTCATTACTATTAGAAAAAATTTCATAATGTTGTAGCGTTGTATGAATAGGATCTATTCCATAGGTTATACTACTGTGTCATCGAGTTCTATAGTGAAACACTTGCTATATAGGACTTTTTATTTGTAGAACCTCTCAAACCATTTTTTTATCATAACAAATTTTTAAGAGTTTTTAATTGATGAAAAGTACTCTTGACCGCTCTTTAAAATTATAACAAAATTCAATTTTTACAAAAATATTTTGTCATCTATAAGTAATTGAAAAATCGTGTCAAAACAACTAGTTTTAGAGTTAAAAGCGCTTATAGAAAAAATGTTTCATCTAAAAGCACTACTCTCGAAAGTCATTTCAAACTTACTCTTCGGTTGCTTGCTTGGTAGGATGGTCGAATCAGTTACAATGAGTTCAAAGCCATGCTAACCACAGGGTTGGATTGGAAGATGGCTTCGCGGCAGTACTCGAGAGCAATGCTTCATGCGCTTAGCCGCAAATTGTTCAAAGACAAATCTGTGGCAGTGCAAAACTAACAGTTTAATTCTGGGTTCAACAAAGGAGTCATCATTTCAGATTGGAAGGAAGTGGATTGATTTGTGTACCCTCAATTTTCCTCCTTACAAATGATCTTTTTTTTTTTTTGGTTAAAGTATTATTGTGACAAAATCTTTCCTTCTCATTCATCCCATTTAAGAAGAAAACGGGGAAAGAAAAAGAAATAGGATAAATGAATGGTCTTGATATAAATTTGTAGTGCTTGAAAATCCAGTTTCTGAGAAAGACCTTGTTATGAAAAATCCATTTTTTGGGTCTTCTTTGAGTGCAGTTAAATCTTTCATTTCTGAACCTATTTTCTCTTTACTAGCATGCAATGCAATTGAGCCACTTGCTATTGGTTCTACAGGAGGTGCCTCCAACGATCTAGTTAATTAGTAGTTGCTTAAGAGAGAAATTCAATAGAGTATCGATGTCGGATGATATCGATATATGTATCTCATTCGAAAAATGTACATCAACTTCAACTTGCATTCAATAGTTTGTTCACATTTGCCCAACACAATGGTTTACCGATTCCAGTATAGTTCAATTGGTCAAAACATTATTTTTCTTTAAAAGTTGGAGATTCAATCCTCCCCGTATAGTTTTGTGACGAGATTTGGTGGGGTGCGATGAAGACTATAAGAAAGATTCAGTGGGCCAAGTGTGGTGGCGTGGGATGTTGGCGTGGGATGTTTTAATAAAAATTTAATATTGGTATAAATACTTAATTCCAAGACCAATCGTGGCATGTTGCGTGAGCCTAATAGTAAAAATAGCAATCTAAGGCGAGGAGTAAAAATACCGCAGACCGAAAGACATACAACAATAGAGATTTCGAGACTATAAATCTTGGCAAATATGACAATACTACAAGAAAAGAAATTAGAAAAATCTCACTGAACTGACACTCAACTACCAACTAAGGCAACTCTAAAAGAAATTTCCATCATCCAAACTGAAAAATCTTTGTGTTGTTAACACGTTGTCAATATTTCAGCTCGATTGAACCACAGATCGACCCTCAAATGTGTTGGAACTGCTTATGTATGAATTCTCTTTCTTTTCTATTTTTCTCTCTTTTACCGTCTCTCTCGCACGTGTTTTGTCCGTCACTGCTCTGTTTAATTTTAAAACAACAAAGGAACCTAAGCCCACTATATGGGCCTTAGTTGTGCTTCACAAATATAGTAAAAAAAACCCAACAAATCTCCTCATTTTCAACGTGTGAAGGAAATTGTCATTCCAACAACAAAATGGCAAAATTCAAGCTTTTTCTTTCGATAAATTATTTCTCAACATATCATATCAATTACGATTAGTATGTATCTTCTCAAGTTCAAATAGTCTGTCATTGAGAGCATCTCTCATCCAGTGATATCACATCTATATGTTTTATTATAGAACGAAAAGTTTAATTCTTCATCTCTAATTATAGCAGAAATCACATAATATTGTTGCTTGAAACTGATTTCATATATAAGTTGCTTCATCTACAACATCTCATTGCACGTCTATGCTATTGTAATATACTCTGCTTTAGTCGTAGAAAGTGCAACATACTTCTATAATCTTGGCTGGCACCACATACGAATGTCATCAAGTAGTTGGAAGTAGATTTTCGGTTATCTATATCTTCTGCTATATCTGAATTAGTGTAACCAATAAATACTGACTTTCATTCCAAATGTGAGCTTCAAACTCGAATACCCCGTAAATATCTCACGATCCACTTAACTGCCTCTAAATGCTGTTTTCCCGAACTTGACATAAAATAACCAACAACACCCATAACATGAGCAATATCTGGTCTAGTGCTTATCATGGTAGACATCAAGCTCCAACTGCTGAAGCACGTGAAAATCTGCTCATGTCTACATTCTCTTTATATGTAGAAGGACTCTACTACTACTCCTTTTGAAGTGATTAGATAAAGGAGAACTTGCTACTTTGCTCATGTTGAATCTTTCAAGCACTTTCTCTATGTAGTGCTCCAAAGGCATATATAGTTTCTTGGATGCTCTATCTTGTACTATACAAATCCTAATAATCTTCTTCGTTGGTCTCAAATCCTTCATGGCAAAGGGTTTGCTTAACTGTTTCTTCAACGTGTCAATTTTTGAAACATTCATGTTGTTGAATCAAGAAATTGACCAACGCCACGAAAGTCTGCTCGAACTGGATGAGCTAGACAGTGAGTTCCAAGCGTCAAGTAGCAGCCTTGCAAAACAGAGTGAACACTCCGATGTCAAAGTCAGTGAAAATCCAAACTAAATTGAGAGAAAATCGAAGTGTTCACGTACCTCCAAATGAATGAAAGGATTCTATTTATAGGCGAAGACCCCGATAGTGTTCCCGACAAGGCCTCAACGGCTCTTTAAGCTTACCGTGAAACCCGGCGTGTTGTTGTGGAGTATGTTAGAGGTATGTCCGAGCTGAGGTAAGCCAATCGGCTCAACCAGTAACGTGGGAACGCGATCGTGATCAAGCTTGTTCGGCTCGGCCACTGAAGGAAATCGGCTCGGTGGATGAGCCGAGATGTGTATACTTAGGTGGTTTTTTTGTGGTATCTATGAGCCACGTGTCATATTTAGCATCCACTCGTCACCTGCCACGTGTACTGATTACGCTTGTTTACATGCGTAAAAAGAAGGTTTTAGATGCTGTTTTTACTATGTTTTAACTTTGTTTCGGACTTTTTCTCGGTCGTTTGAGTTCCAATTCATGCAAAATTCATATATTATGGTTTGTGGTTGGCTTATATTGTATTTATGACATTTTA